CGGTATTTGAAAGTCAGTGGTCGAAGAGCTGTTACATTTCGTACCAGATGCCCTGTTGTATCAGCCTGCAGACAAGGTGACAGGACTGTTGGCCGATTGTTGTCTTCTTAGTGAATTCACGCGATGCATAGCTGTACAAGAGATAAAAACATATCCACGAGGGGGCTGATCCGAATTTGGTTGTTTCAGGAAAAAAGAGCTACTGAAGTTTTCACGATCCGACATGCAAAATTCAACATTTTTTCTGCTACTCTTGAAGTGACTTCTACTTTTTGCATTGACCAAGTGTGGCCTTCTCGAAAATGGGCTAAATTCATTATGCAAGGCTATAAACGCAAGAGAGAGATAGCCAAAGTGATAGTTAGCTGCAGGACATCGTGAACATCTTTTCTTAGCAGACCTCAGAGACCAATAAGTGGGTATCCTATTGCATTCAATACCTTTCTTAAATAAGAATTCACTAGCAGCAAGTTGCTAAAACCAAAAATCTTTCTAAAGAGCCTGCTACCTAAACAAAAAATGCAGCAAGTTTCTATACGGGTACAATTTTTCAGCGGTTTTAAAAATTAAATAAAAAATATTTCAAAGCAGATTGTAAAAATGTTTCTAAGACACAGATTAAAGCTATTATAGAAGTGAGTTACCTCGTTGTCGCAACTTGGTCTTGTTGTCAGGGCGACCATGTAGTACGTACCTAGTCTGAAGTCGTCTGCCATATTAGTTGTCATGATTCCCAGCATCAGACAGTGGACTTGGTACATTATCAAACGTTTCGCCGGCATCGTAGTCGGCATCATCAGTGAGTGCTGCTATTCTCCGCACTAAGCTACAAACTCGCCAAAAAGACTTGGCTAAGAGAAGTTGAATGGCCTTCTGAGAGACTTGTCCCTTTGACGCGTTCGTAGCTTGTTGCGGAGAATAGCAGAATTCACCGACGATGCCGGCGAAACATTTGACAATGTACCAAGTCCACTGTCTGATGCTGGGAATCATGACAACTACTATGGCAGACGACTTCGGACTAGGT